AAAAAAAAAAAGAGCTCAGGGACAGCACCCAGGCTCTGAGTTCAAGCCTCATGATTGACCAAAAATAAAGAAGAAGAAAGAAAGTAATGGAGGGAGGAAGGGGTGAACAAATGCAGTCATGGTATTCACTATATACTATGTGGGAAATGCACTATGCAACTGTGGGCAAAGATGAGAGGGAAATTGGGGGAGAGCAAAGGAAGGAGTGACACTGTCAAAAAGATTTATACCCATTCCATTGTAAAATGATAACCCCTCTGTACAACACCTTTATAATAATGAAATTATATCAAAAAAGAAGTAGATCAAGGGAAGGAAAGAAATCAGTCATTACCTGACTTATGTAACTGTAACCCTTCTGTAGATCACCTTTATAATAACAATAAAAAAAAAGAAAATGAATTGTACTCATTACCTAACTTATAAAATGGTAATCATTCTGTATAACATCTTTTTTTTTTTTTTCCCAGTCCTAGGACTTAAACTCAGGGCCTGGGCACTGTCCCTGAGTTTTTTTTTTTTTTATTGTGAAAATAAATTGTAGAGGGGTTACAATTACACGGGCACATAATGAGTACATTTCTTAGCATTGTTGCCTCCTCCTTTGTTTCCCCTTCCTATCCCCTCCCAACGGCCCCCCCCAAGTTGTAAAGTTCATTTTTCGACATAATGACTTGTACATCTCATTATTGCAATGGGTCCACCTGTATCCCTATTTAAACGATTTGTTTTTTTCCTTTCCCCTCCTCTCCCTGAGCTTCTTTTAATCAAGGCTACCACTCTACCACTTGAGCTACAGTGCCATTTCTGGATTTCTTTCTTTCTCTCTTCTTCCTTCCTTCCTTCTTCTTTCTTTTCCTTTTCTTTCCTTTTTTTTTTTTTTTTGTCGGTCATGGGGCTTGAACTCTGGGCCTGGGGGCTGTCCCTGAGGTCTTTAGCTCAAGGTGAGCGCTCTACTGCTTGAGCCACAGCACCACTTCTGGTTTTCTTGTGGTTTATTGGAAATGAAAGTCTCACAGACTTTCCTGCCTGGGCTGGCTTTGAACCGTGGTCCTCAGATCTCAGCCTCCTGAGTAGTTAGGATTACAGGCATGAGCCACCAGCACCCAGCTTTCTTTCTTTCTGTTCTTCTTTTTTTGCCATTCCTGGGCTTGAACTCAAGGCCTGGGCACTGTCCCTGAGCTTCTTTTGCTAAAGGCTAGCACTCTTTCACTTGAGCCACAGCACCACTTCTGGCTTTTTCTGTTCATGTGGTACTGAAGAATAGAACCCAGGGTTTCATGTATGCTAGGCAAGCACTCTACCACTAAGCCACATTCTTAACCCCTGTATAGCATCTTTTTTTTTTGTCAAGGTGTTGCACAGAGAGGTTACAGGTACATAAGTACATTTGTTATCAGACTTGCTACTCCTTCCTGATTTTTCTCCTACTTTCCCTCCCCCCCATAACATCTTAATAAAAATAAACATATTTTAAAACTTCTCTGGGCGCTGGTGGCTCATGCCTGTAATGCTAGCTACTCAAGAGGCTGAGATCTGAGGATCATGGTTCAAGGCAGTCCAGGCAGGAAAGTCTGAGTGTCTTATCTCCAATTAACCATCAGAAAACCGAAGTGGCACTGTGGCTCAAAGTGGTAGAGTGCCAGCCTTGAGTGGAAAGCATAGGGACAGCACCCAAGCCCTGAGTTTAAGCCCCAACATGCAAGCAAATTGTTTATGCTTTATGTTTAAGCTTTGTTTTCCCAGGCATCAGCCAACGATCTACACCATTAATTGAATTAATCTCTTCCTACTAATGTGAGCCATTCCTTTTATTGTTAAATTCCTAGAGATTCACAGACTGTCTCTGGCCTTTCTTTAGCATTGGGCAACAATGCATATTGAGTAGTGAATAGTTCAGTTGGAGCCAACTGGCAAAAGCACACACTGCCTTCCATCATTTGCTGCTAGGTACAATGTGGGTTACATCTTCCAAGTCTCCAACAGGTGCCAACCAGAGTTTTATATAATGTGCTGTAAACTATTATTACTATTTTTGCAGGTACTGGAGATTGAACTCAAGACTTGGCACTTAGCTTTTCCTCAAGATGGGGGCTCTATCACTTGAGCTACAGCTCTACTTTGGGTTTTTATTTTTTGGGTGCTGGTCCTAGGGCTTGAACTTAGGGCCTGGGTGCTGTTTCCAAGCTCTTTTGCTCAAGGCTAGTGATCTACCACTTGAGCCACGGTTCCAGTTCTAGCCTTTTGGTGGTTAATTATAGATAAGAGTCTCATGAACCTTCTTGCCCAAGCTGGCTTTGAAACTCCATCCTCAGATCTCAGCCTCCTGAGTAGCTAGATTACAGATGTGAGCTACTGGTGCCTGGCTAGTTTTTTGTTTTTGTTTTTTTTTTAATTAGCCAAAACACTGCAATGCTTTCCACTGAGGAGGAGCCTGTTACTGGCACCTCTAATCCTACTGTTGAAATATGATTCTGCATGTGTCCTGACTGGGCCTGGGAATTCACCTCCAACTCCTGACTGCCAGCAAGCAGAAGCAAAAGAGCAAGTGCGCCTGAAAACCTCTTGGCTCACCTCACCTTTCACCCAGGAGTAGAAGAGGAGGTGCCAAGTTGCTAAGCAACCTGGAGACAGAAGGTTGGCAGGAGGGGTGGTAATATCTAGACTCTGACAAAGGACCATGTGTTGGAAATAGAATGGTAAATTAAATGCTGGCCAAGGATGGAGCAAGATTCTGGACTCCTAAAACAAAGCAGTGATGTCATCTTCTCTAAAAATAATGCAGCTTTGTTGGGTACTCTCCAGCCCTGTCTCACCAGACGGCAACAAACAGAAGCCTCCAACTCTTTTTTTTAAAAAATATTTCCTATATTTTATGCTGTACTGGGGCTTGAGCTCTTGGCCTCACCCTCTTGCTTGGCTTTTTTAAAGTTCAAGGATGGTGCTCTACTACTTGAGCCACAGTTCTATTTGTTTGTTTTTAGTTAATTGGAAAAAGTCTCTCAGATTTGTGTGCCAGGGCTGTCTTTGAACCATGATCCTCAGATCTCAGCCTCCTGAATAGGTAGGAATACAGGAGTGAAAACTTTCTTAAAATTAGTATACATTTATAGTACAAGGGGTTTTCATTGTGATTTCTTAAATTCTTTGAGCAAGTTCACCTCTGCTATCCATTAATCCTCCTCAATTAAGTCCTCAACTGTATGTGTGTACTGGGGCTTAACCTCAGGCCCAAATATTTTCTTGCTTAGTTTTTCTGTTCAAGGTTAGAGCTCTACTGTTAGAGTCATACCTTTGCTTCTTAGTTGCAGATAAGAGTCCCGAGGTTTTTTGCTTAGGTTGGTTTTGAACTAAGGGCCTCAGATTTCATTCAGCCTCCTAAGTAGGATTACAGGTGTGAGTCATCAGTGCCCAGCAAAGGAAAAACATTTGCCAATACTGGGGATTGAAATCAGGACCCCTTATTCTTATTGGCTTTTTCCTCTCAAGCCTATTGTCTTGTAACTGGAGCCCCATATCCACTTCCTAAGTCTCCAACTCTTCTGCAAGACAGGATGTGCTAGTGGCAGACAGGCCACACAATAGAATGTCACTGTTTATGGGGAATCCTATGCAAGGCCTTGCTTGCTTATTACAAACCTGTGAGGTGCAATGAGAATGGTTTGTAGAGGCTGTAATACACAGGAATATGCATATGCAGAAAACGGACTGCAAGCCACCTTTCCTTCCCTGTACACACACGCAGAATCAATTACTCACTCAGTTCACTATAGGTCTCTCACAACCAGGTTCTGGGAACATAGTGGAATGTGAGCATTTTCCTGCTCTCCTTCGTTAGGTTGGTGATCGTCACCCTGACCTATGACTCAGACTGGACTTAGTTTGGGTCTTCTCTGGTTGGAGCAGTGACTTCAAGAGTCTTTTGTGTTTTCCTCCAGAGACTTGGTTGTTTTCCTGACAATTGGTCACTTCCTGGAATGCAGTGAGCTGTGCCAGGAATACAGCATGCATTTATATGATTGAGGCATAGATAAGCAATGACTTGGACCAAATTCTGACCTACTTTTAGTTTTCTGGTCATTCTGGCTTGAATTCTGGGCCTGGGTGCTGTTCCTCAGCTCGTCAGAAGACTAGTGCTCTACCACTTGAGCGACAGCACCACTTGTTTTCTGGTGGTTAACTGGAGGTAAGTCTCACACTTTCCTGCCAGGGTTGGCAGATCCCAGCCTCCTAGTAGCTAGGTTTACAGGCATGAGCCACTAGTGCCCGACTTTGTTGGGCTTTTTTGCTAAAGACTGGAACTACCACATGAGCCACAGCTCCACTTTAGGCTTTTTTTTGGGGGTCCAGTCGTGGAGCCTGAACTCTGGGCCTGAGCGCTGTCCCTCAGCTCTTCAGCTCAAGGCTAGCGCTCTATCACTTGAGCCACAGCGCCACTTCCCACTTTCGGCTTTTCTTTTTGCTTATGTGGTGCTGAGAAATTGAACCCAGGGCCTCAGGCATGCAAGGCAAGTGCTCTACCACTGAGCCAACTTCCCAGCCCTGGGCTTTTCCTTAATTGGAGATTCAAATCTTTCTTACCCAAGTTAGCTTGAACTACAACACTCAGGCCTCAGCCTCCTGAGCAGTTAGGATTACAGCCACAAGCTTCTAGAAGGAATCAACTCTGTCCATACCTTGATTTCAGATTTCCGGCCTATAACTGGGAAAATAAATTTGCTTAGTTTTGGCGGTGCTGGGGATTGAATCCAAAGCTTTGAGCATGCTAGCCAAGTGCTCTACCAATGTATTCTTAGCCCCAAGTGTTTATTGTTTAAAGCCACCAAATTTGCCTCTCAAGAAATAAGTGCAAAGTCAAGCCTCTGGTACCTATGAACTTGACTTTTACTTGGGAAAAGCACTTTTATAGGCATAATTAGGAGAAGGATCTTGAGATGACATCAACTTTTTTGGGGGGTAGGAGAGGCCTGAACTCAGGGCCTTAAGTTCTTGTTTGGCTTTTTTTGTTGTTGCTGGTCCTGGGTCTTGAACTCAGGACCTGGGAACTGTCCCTGAGCTTTTTTTCAAGAGTAGTACTCTACCACTTGAGCCACAGCACCACTTCTGGCTTTTTCTGTTTATGTAGTATTGAGGAATAGAATCTGGGGCTTCATGCATGCTAGGCAAACTCTACCACTAAGCCACATTCCCAGCCTTGCTGGCAGAAATTCTTAACACTTCAACCATACCCCCATTTTAGGCTTGTTGCTGATTGTAGTCTCATGGACTTTTCTGCCTAGGCTGTCTTCAAGTGTGATCCTTGTATCTCAGCCTCCTGATAGGATTACAGGAGTGAACTGGGCTGATGACATCATTCTTGAGTAGAGTTGATTCTAAATTCAAGGTTCTGAAGGACTCCATGCCCCAATGTCCTTGTGAGAGACAGGAAACTATATGCAGTGGCATGTGGGAGGCGGCCATACAAGAGGCAAGGATTGGACTTGCTGCTTAGAAGCCCAAGTACAGCAAGGTTGGTTGGTAGCTAGCAGAGAGAAGCATGGAATGGATCCTCCCTGAGGACCTCCAAGAAGGAATCTACTCTGCTGACCCTGAGTTCACATTTATCACCGCAGAAATATGAGAATTGCTTCTTCAAGCAGCCACATTGTGATCACTGATTACAGCAGCTTTCAGAGCAAATAAGTAGATTGCACTCTGTTCTTTCTTCCAAGAAGTACAACCATGCATAACTGGACATGACCATTTGCCATCATTCCACTCTCCTGGGCCTTACTAGAGACAACCTTAAGGTCTCGCCAGAACTCTGACAACTTGGCCTGTGAACTGTATGCCATTGTCAGATATTAACACACGGGGTGTACTAAGTATTGTAAAAATATCCAAGACACTGACCCATCACCACCAAGATGGGTCAAGAGCTCCCCAAGGCCAGCCTGCACAGAGTAATATTTAGGGAGATCCTATCCATAAATCAAGCTGGAAGCTGGGCACCAGTGGCTCATACCTTGTAATCTTAGCTACTGAGGAAACTGAGATCTGAGGATTATGGCTCGAAGCCAGCCCATTTTAAACAAAACCTGAGACTCTTACCTTCAATTAACCAGCAGAAAATTGGTAGTAACCACCAGAAAACTGGCTCAAAGTGGTAGTGCGTTAGCCCTGAGAAAAAGCTCAGGGACAACACCCAGATCCCGAGTTCAAGTGCCAAGATTGCAAAAAAAAAAATCCCAACACACAAACAGACACATACAAACTCCACAAAAAAAGAAACAAAATAATAAAAAAGCTTGGTATGACAGTTCATACCTGTACTCTCAAAGGTAGAATGGGAAACAGGTGAGAAAACTCATGTCCAAGGCTGGCCCTAGGCAAAAATGTGAGACCCTATCTGAAAGTATAAATCTGAAATCCTATAATTCAAGTAGCTGGGCGCCAGTGGCTCAAGCCTGTAATCCTAGCTACTCAGGAGGCTGAGATCTGAGGACCACGGTTCAAAGCCAGACCGGGCAGGAAAGTCTGTGACTCCTATCTCCAATAAACCACTAGAAAACCAGAAGTGTTGCTGTGGCTCAAGCAGTAGAGCACTCACTTTGAGCTGAGGAACAGCCCCCAACCCGAGTTCAAGCCCCACGACCGACAAAAAAAAGTGTTGGGGGCATGGCATAAGTAGTAGAGCATCTGCAGAGTTCAAATTCCAGTAACACCAAAAAGAGAATGTTATCTTTTATACAGAACAAGATGAGTATGTATGCAGGACTAGTGGCTCACACCTGTAATCCTAGTTTACTCAGGAAGCTGAGATCCTAGAATTGGGAATTCAAGGCCAGGCTGGGTAAACTAACCAGAGACCTATTTCCAGTTAGCCAGTGAATAGCTAGAACTGGAGCTATGGATCACGTGCTACAGTGTCAGTTGTGAATGGGGAAAGCAGATGTAGACTGCTAAGATCCTGACTTCAAGCCCTAGTACTGACACAAGAAAAAGGGTATGGAAACGGCATTGCTTTCTATGGCATGATACCCTGTAATAAATCTTCCTTGCCATATGCCTCCCCTAATACTATTGTTTAACTTCTTGCAAGGATGGAAGCAGATGCCTTAGCTTTCTGGTTAACAGCTTATAGCTATTGGCCCTTCAATTTTCTCATCTATGAAATGAGGGAGTATCAGCATGTACACCAGTTCAGCTATAAAAACCTAGTGATAATGCTGTGTCCACACATTCCCACACAACTGGACCAGGTTGCTCACTACCATGAAGGTTATCTAGCCTGGCTCTTGACACAGAACCCTCTGCCTCCACCTGCCTTTTTCCAACTAGTAATCATCTGCTGGCCAAGGGCAGCTGAAGGAATGAGCCAATCTGGACTCCAGCAAAGGGACATGAGATGTCAGAATTTTCTGTGGATGGTCAGGAATTCACTATAGCTCCAGGACACACCCATTCCCCTCCTAGAAGCCTTTCTGCTCCCCAGACACAGACTTACCTTTTGTCTCCAGCTCGGATAGCTCTGCAATTAGTGGTATCATGGTGGGTGGGGGGAGTACCTATGGCTGGCATAGCGTGACCTTAGCCAAGCCAACCTCTGCTTTAGAAATACTGATATATACGACATCTAGTTCTCCGAGAACTTGTACTTGTACTAACCCAGCACCAGTAAAGGAGCTCACAGGTAGCTCTGACTTTACTGTAAAGAGCTTGAAGTCGGTCAATGCTACAGGGAAATTAAAGCTGCTTCTCTTATTTACTCTAAGACTTTCTGACAATATAGTCTTACTGCGCAATGACTTTTTCAAATATGCCATACATTCACACATTAGTTTATTCTGAAGGTAGTATTCTTACTACACTGCTGGTAGCAATTAGTGCAGCTATTATGGTAATCAGTGTGGTTGTTCCTCAAAAAACAACAACAACAAAAAACTAGAATTAAAGCTGGGTACAGGGGCTTATACTTTCTAGCTACCCAGACTTGAGATGAGGATCAGTTTGAAGCCAGCCTAGGTAGATAAATAAGTGGAGGTGGCTCAAGTGGTAGAGAACAGCCTTGAACAAAAAAACTAATAGGCAACACCGAGACACTGAGTTCAAGCCCAATAGCCACACAAAACAAAAATAAAACCCTACAATTACCACTAGATTCTACTATACTATTCTTGAGCAGACTTGAAGGAATGCCAAGTCAGCACTCAACCAAGAATTCCACACTTTTGTGAATTGTTCATATTGAAACCTATTTAAGTAAATGTACAAGACTAAGTAAAAAGGAGAGTGGAGTTGATGGGGAGTAAAAGGTAATAGAGGAGGCAACATGACCAAAATATATACCATGTAAACTGATGGTCAAATGTAGATGACCATTTGACTTTCAACCGTTTGTTTCTAGAATCAAGGTACTGGAGGGCACTACACTAAAGGGCGGCCTGCCTCAAAATATATGCCAACTTCCTTTTCCAGATCCAATGACAGTTAAGCCACTGAAAAAGCACCAACATCCCAAAACACCATGTATACAACAAACGATATTCATTTAAGAAGTTTTTTTTTTAGATCAAAAGTTGTATATTAGATTATTTTACTCCTGCATCTTCTCAATTGTTTCTTCCTTGTATTTGCCCTTTTCCTTTCCTACTTGGCGGGATTTGGCTTTCCGTTCCAGGATCTTTTTGCGGTCTTTGTCCAGTTTCAGCCTGGTGATTACCACCTGCAGAAAAAAAACACCCCAACTGTAAGCAATAATGAACAAAGGCACAGCACCCAATCTTACCTTCCAAATCCAAGATAGATGCCTAAATGTGAACTGACCTAACTTTTTACAGGTTCTACCAATGACCTTTTAAGCCCCCAAACCATCTCAATTAAATATTTAACAATTTTCTACCAACAAGGTAGAGGAAGCAAAATATTTGTAGCAGTGATTCAGTTAACCTATTCTGTGCTTCATTATGTTTTCCTGCCACCCATCTATCCCACTTTTCTCATTCTCAATAACACAAACGTGCGATATACAAACATCGGTTTCTAAAGTAACCTTAGAATTATATAGCTGAGCCAAGGTATCAGTAATCCTAGTTACTCAGGAGGCTGAGAGCTGAGGATTGAGGTTCAAAGTCAGCCGGAAGAGGGTCTGTGACTCTTATTTCCAATTTTTTTTTCTAGTGGTTTATTGGACTATTCTAGTGGTTTATACGGAATTTCCTGCCTGGGCTGGCTTTGAACCTTGATCCTCAGATCTCAGCCTCCTGAATAGCCAGGATTACAGGCAGGAGCCACCGGCACCTGGCTTCACTTTACTTTTTGTTCTATCAACTTTTGAAAATACCTATTAAGTGCAGTGTTGAAAGGCAGTCTGATTCAGAAACACTTTACATGTCAGAATATTCAATACAAAAAGTATATTTAGCAAAGACAAGGATGTCAATACATGGAAACTCAGGGACCATTTCTAGGGATGCTCTGAACAATCCCATCTGCCCAAAATTTCCCTCAGGTATTCTAACACACACACCTTGCTGGGGTGAATGCCCACGTGGACAGTGGTGCCATTGGCCTTTTCCCGCTGTACCCGTTCAATGTAGATGACATACTTCTTCCTGTAAACCTGGACCACTTTGCCAATCTGCTGGCCTTTATAGTGTCCTCGTACAACCTAAATGCAAATGGAAAAACATGTGATTCAAAGGAATGTGATTAGCCAGGAATACAATCAGTTATACACAACACTATCACCAGAAATAGAAGACTTCACAATTTTTTTGGGGGGTGCCTCGGCTCAAGTCTAGCCTTAGATACCCCTGAACTCTGGGCCTCAGCTCTTCAGCTCAAGGCTTGCGCTCTACCACTTAGGGCCAAGTGCCACTTGTGGCTTTTTTCTTTTTGCTTATGTGGTGCTGAGGAATTGAACTCAGGGCCTCATGCATGCAAGGCAAACACTTTACCACTGAGCCACCTTCCCAGCCCAGATTTTAAGTTTTTAAAGATACTTATGCTAGGTGCGGCTCACAGGTCATACTAACTACTATGAGGATCATAGTTTAAAGCCAGACCCAGCAGGAAAAGTCCATGAGAATCTTATCTCTAATAAACTAGCCAGAAAATGCCAGAATTGGAGTTGTGGCTCAACTGATAGTGCACTAGCCTTGAGCAAAAGAAGCCCAGGCACAATTAAAAAAAAAGATTCAATTAAAAGAAAAATACGCCAATAATCTTATTCCTGGATTTAACAGTGCCATCTATTTAGTGGAGAACGATGTAACCTAAAAGAACCTACTCTAGTTTTCTAAAATTTCAAGGAATGTGTTACTCTACTGCAACACCAGCACTGCTTCCCAAGTATTGTTTACAGCCATAACGAATAACCCAGTACCAGATAAATGGCAGGCACTTAATATTTTAAGTGCTTCTAAATAGCAGGTCACAGGTCTTTGCATTCAACCAGTTTATTTACAAAAAAGATTGTTCCCAAGGTCTACTGCCATTTTAGATAGCATGGATTATTGGCTGTCCTCAATCCATACTGCTCTGTTGGGAACTGATTTCATTTTAATTGCCATTAACCTCACAATACAATACGGATTGCATGTAAATTCTTTTACAAACTTCCTGAATTCTGCAGCCATTAGCTCTAAATTACACCTAAGAAATACTCATGGAAAACTTCACCAACATTGATCTGGCCAATCAATTATTTACCAGTAAGCTCAAACCATCAGAACAATGTTCTTCTCTAGACTTCAAATGCCTCAAAATACTGACAGAAGAATCCTGAAATAATGTTCACTGCCTGTCATGTCTTTTTCAAACTATTCTGGTTCCACCTGATGCTACAGAAACTGCTTTAGAATGTCAGCTGGATGCAGGTGGCATACAAGAGGCTGCAATCTTGTGGTTTAAAGACAGCTCAGGCAGCAAAGTTCATGAACTTCGGTCTCCAATTAACAAGCAAAAAGCTGGAAGTGGAGCTGTAGTTCAAGTGAGAATGCTAGACTGGAGAAAAAGCTAAGGAACAGCGAGCATCTAAGCCTAATTTACTCCCCAGCAAAAAGACAAAAACAAACCAAGCCCCCCCCTGCCTCCCAACCTGCTTTGTACCATAGAATGAGAAATCAGGTAACCCAACTTTCCTGTTATGCTGCCTCAATCTATCTCACAAAGTTTTCCTTTTCCTAAAGTGCACATGGTGGCCTCAAAGACGACTTGGCAAGCAGAAATACATACCTGCACCTCATCATCCTTCCGGATGGGCATAGACCGCACATTGTACTTTTGTCTCAGCTCTTTGGAAAGAGGGGAAGACATAATCTTCCTGCGAATGTGGGAAGGTGCATTGAAATGCCTTTTCCGGTTCTTGCTTCGGTCAGAAGTGACAAAGGGATTGAACTTCATTTTGGCTTTAAAAAAAAAAAAGACTTTTAAATAACCAAAGTCTCATCAAGCTAAGGTGTCCTGTTCTAGAATTCCACCGGAAACCGCGAGAACTGAATGAGTGGCTTATCAAGAGATGCTTGAAATGAAAAAAAAAAAAATCCTCCGTGCTTAGAGGGGATTTTGTTATTTGTTTACGGAATGGCGACGTTTCCCGTTAATAACACATTTAACTTAAGAAGTTTGCTTTGAGTCCTTAAGAACTGTATGAGGAAAACTAGCTTTAGAAATACCTCTGGATTAACGCAGCGCACGCGTTTGCTAGGTCTGGCCTGCCCTCACCTCTCGCACTCTTGGGTGCGTGAACACATTCCATCCCTAAGTCGATCGATCAAGCCGGGGACTCCCCCCCCCCCGCCCCATTCTGGAGCCCTCGACTTGGAATTCCCAAAGATCTCGGATTCAAAACGCGAGTTAAAGTTAGCGAGTGGGGTCCGGTAAGTGCAGCCTTGCCGGGAGTATCCACAGCACAATGCTCAGACTGAACCCCATCATTATCCACAGGCCCCAACTCGTCCGTCCCTCCTTCCCACTCCAGTCCAGCCCCAGGGCGAGGAAGCAACATAGGACATCCTGGCCCCATTCCCTGGCAGCCATAAAGCCAACAGGACAGTCTCAAGACCTCTGGGTGGACAGCCACCCTGGCCCAGGGGCGGATGCCAGCGGATGACCCGCGCCTTCCTGCTCGATGCTCACCCGCTGCTGCTTCAGCGATGGCCGAAAACGGGGGGAAGAGAACTACAGGCCGCTTCCGGTTCTGTAAGTTTACGAGAGATCTCGCGAGATTACTGTCACGTAGAGCGCGAGAGGCAGGGAATTTAAGCCAGGAGGGAACTGGGAGTGGAAGTCGAGTCTACTGCCACCTTGCGGCCGGGAGGGGAACTGCGGTCTGCGGGGTGGGTGGTGGTGGGGAAACCTGTAGCTCTCTAGCGTCGCCGTTTGGTGGGTCCCGGGGTTGTAGCTGACCGCCCTGTGCGCCCGGGAATATTCGGGGGTGCAGGGGGGATTGTTTAGGGTCCGCCTACTTGGGTGGTTGGCGAAGGAGCGAGTGGCTTCAGGGGATCCGATCCCAGATGCGGGGCGATTGGGAAAAAGCCACCAGACGATGCCGAGTGACCTAGAACTCAGGACCCCAGGGCTATGCACCGCGCACCTGCGCGCCCTGGGACCGCCCCAAAGCTTTTGATCTAGAGGTGCGGGGCTTCCAGAAGACGAGGCTGCTGATCGCTCCCCACTCAACACAAGTAGATCTGATCCCTGATTTCCAGGGAAGCCTCCCGGGTGGTCTGGACCACACTTTGTAGGGGTGGGCCTGGGAAAGCTCTCAAGGCGGGGAAGCCTGCCTTGCCAAGTCACTTGCCCACCTGTATTCAGTTCAATTAGGGTCTGATGGAGGCAGGGGGAGGAGGTGCACGCCCCTGCAAATGGATTCTGAGGAGGCATCGGTTTCCATGAATACAGGTGTCATACTGACCGAACACACAGTTCGTAATTAATATACGTGACTGGGGGTCTTGCTGAGTACTTCTACCCCGTCTTATGTTTCCACGAAATTTCCTTTTCTGCACCTCTTTCTAATAAATGCTTAGGGAGCATTTTTCACAGGCTAGCGTTGAACTAGACGCCAGAGGGACTCAATAAGTCCCAAGTGCATGCTTGCTTGCAGGAAGTCGTCCAAGGTAGACAAGAAAATCCACTGGACCACAGAAAAACTGGAAGTGGAGTTGAGGGTCAAGTGGTAAAATACTAGCTTTGGACAAACAAGCTCAGGGACAGCACCCCAAGTTCTGGGGCCCAACCAGGTTCAGTGAACGCTGAAAACCATAGGGAAGCCTGGATGGCTCCTACTTTCCTACTTTGCCTTCTTGTCTGGTCTTCACTGTCTGACTGCCTTGCCTCAAGAACTCGATTTCATTTCCTTACCCCAGCCCCCAACTCCTTTCTCAGGTCTCCCTCATCATCCCTCCTCATCTTTCTCTCTTTCTCCAAAGGTCCACAGTGTTTGGGCCTCCTCACCTCCCTCCCCAGCCAAACACTGAGTCACCATATTAAAACTTTCAGCCCTCAGTTGGGGAAGCATGACCACTTAAACACTGGAAAGATTGTTAGGCTACAAATTGTACCCAGAGATGCAAATTACCAATGGCCTAGTTACAAAGACTGTTTATCTTAACCAGTGTCTCTTCCAACCTGTGTGATTCTCGGGCAACCTAGTTTGGCTGCCCCTTCTCTGTCTCTTCTCTACCTTCCCCTTCCTTGGTTTAAAAGATCTTTCAAGCCGGGTGCTGGTGGCTCATGCCTGTCATCCTAGCTACTCAGGAGGCTGAGATCTGAGGTTGCAGTTCAAAGCAGACAGGGCAGAAACATTCCTGTGAGACTCTTTTTTTTTTTGTCCGGTAGTAGAGCCTGAACTCTGGGCCTGGGCGATGTCCCTCAGCTCTTCAGTTCAAGGCTAGCGCTCTACCACTTGAGCCACAGCAGCGCCACTTCCGGCTTTTTTCTTTTTGCTTATGTGGTGCTGAGGAATCGAACCCAGGGCCCCAGGCATGCAAGGCAACTGCTCTACCACTGAGCCACCTTCCAGCCCTCCTGTGAGACTCTTATCTCTAGTTGACCTCTCAAAAATTGGAAGTGGTGCTATGGCTCAAGTGGTGGAGAGTTAGCTTTGAGTACAAAGAGATTCAGGGACAGTGCCCAGAACCTGAGTTCAAGCCCCATAATGGACAACAAACAAACAAACAAACAAACAACAGCAACAACAACATAAAAGACAAGGCAAAGTGAAACTTTCTCTCCTCCTTCCTTGGCTAATCATGGTTACAAGGTTTTTGTGCATCTTCTCAATTTCCTTATGCAGAAATAATGCAATGTAAATGTAAATTTGCATTCCTTTCTCTTTCTACATAAATTGTAGTAACCAATGTCTAGTGTTTCACACCTGGTCTGTTCCCATTAGCCATTGTATCTTGGAAATGGTTCATGTCATTCATGTCTGTTCCTTTTTTTTTTT